GCTGCCGGAGGCGATTGAGCTGTACCGCAAGGCCGGGCAGCACGACGAGGCGGCGCGGCTGCTCGCGCGGCTCGGGCAACGCACCGTCGCCACTGACCCGCTGCGCGCAAAGAAGTTCTACGTGCTATCGGCACTTGAGATCGAGAAGTACCGCAAGAAGAAGATGACGCTTAGCGGAGACGGCGCGGCGGCGATGGAGGCGCTGTTGAATGCCGACCGCAGCACCGCGGCAACAACAGCAGCAACAGCGGCGGCAGCAGCGACACCAGCAGTAGCGGAGCGGACATTAGACGCTGCATGGCGCGGCGCTGAGGCGTTGCACTTCTTCCTGCTCTGCCAGCAGCACATTCTGCGCCGCAACCTCGGCTTTGCTCTCAATGTGGCGATGCGGCTGATGGACTACGACGACATTATTAGCCCCGTCGACAGCTACAGCCTCATCGCGCTTACGGCGTATCTTGCCAAGAACTTCAGCATCTGCAGCAAGGCCTTCACACGCCTCGAGGCGGCGGAGCAGCTCGACGCGCAGCAGCAGCAGCAAGAAGGCGGCGGCGGTGGCGGTGCCGGCCCTGCACTGGCAGGACAGCTGCAGCTCATCGACATGACAATGGAACTAGACGTCACTAGCAGAACGCGTAGTGCGCATACCAACAATAATAGCAGAGGTCTGGTGCTGGGCGCGACGCGGCTCGACGGCACAACGACATCCCTGCAGCTGACAAACCCATCCAAGGGCGTGGTGACTGCGACGCAGTTTACGTACCCAACGGTTAGCCTCAAGGAGCCGCGGCGTCGCTTCGCCGACCTCGCAGTAAAGATATTCAAGCAGAACAAGCCGGAGGATACCTCCGTCGACCGCGTCAAGTGCCCCAAGTGTGAGGCCTTCAATAAGGAGTGGGCGCCGTGCTGCGTGAATTGCCAGCAGCCGTTCAGCGTCTGCATCTACACCGGCCGCAGCATTGCCGAGGAGGACTTCTGGCAGTGTGCCGTATGCCACCACCGTATTATTGATGTGGAAAGCGACCGCTTCCGTAACTGCCCGCTTTGTCATACACCAATGAAGCAGCGCTTACGCGGGGGGCGACAGTGAGAGAGCAGCAGCAGCAGCAGACGCAGCGCCGTTCCTTCACTGCACACCCGCCCATT